TCTCTCTCTCTCTCTCTCTCTCTCTCTCTCTCTCTCTCTCTCTCTCTCTCGTGTTGTGTGTGTTGTCTCTATAAGTAGTATAAAGAAAAATAACTTTCATTGATTTAATAATTATGTTTTATTTTTTAATTAATGATTTCCGTTATTTAGAAAATCAATACAGCATTGCATTACTTGTAGAGAAATAAACTGGTATTTATTGCAACATTAATTGGGACGAAGTTTTGGTGAATACCACCAGTTTTGACATGAAATACAGTTGAGAGAGAGAGAGAGAGAGAGAGAGAGAGAGAGAGAGAGAGAGAGAGATGCATGAAAATAAGGCCCAAAGGCTCTTAATAGAGAGTGTTTTATATTGAAATACAGAGAGAAAAAAGTATTTTTGTTATACAGTACATAATCGTTAATGTAAACAATGATTACTGGGAATAAAACAATCATTTATTTTTAAAAATTAGGGTAAGCATGATTGTTTTCGCTATAAGTTAACTCTTTATGCGTTTACTAAATTATCTATACGATTAGCGCAGACAAAAAACTGAAACTCATACAAATATAATCATAACTAAATTCATAACAATTTATTTATTAGAAAAAAATTAATTAAAATCATTGACAAGAAAATTTGAACATAAAATATCAATCACTACTCTTTATATTACTTTATAAAGTGAACAAAACTTTGAATATAATCTCTATGTCTGATATAGAGTTACCACAAACGATAGTGTAGTGTATCTGTAAAAAGAGAAAACTTTTTGGGCAGAAATACTGAGTATTTATAAGTTATTAATATTACGGCGAAAATGAGAACAAGAGAGGTATTAAAACAGGTATAATATGTGGAACACATTCTTTGCCATATTTTTCTGGCCAAACAATCTCTCAAAGCATCACTTGATTATATGATGGCATACACTGTATGGCAAACCACTCTATGAGCGCTCAGTAGTGATCATGTGTTTCTTGTGATACACTTTTTTACTTTCAATTTCTGATTTACTTGTCTGATAAACAGAGCGCCGTTTCATTGCTTATTATTATTATTATTACGATTAGTATTACTATTAAGGAGACGTCAATAGAGAGTGAGAGTAAAGTGAAGAAAAAAATGAATGTTTTTAAAGATTGATATCAGGAAAGAAAGAAAGTGAGAGTAAGAGTGAAAGTAAAAAGTTTTTGAAAGTGAAAACTCAGCGAAAGCTTTGAATGCAGAAAAGATTTGCGTCCAGTGTTTGTCGAGGAGTGAGAAAAAGTTGAGTTTTCTCTCTATCCATCTCTCGGATGCAACCATTATTTTTGTCTATCATTATATTTATAAATAATTTTCAATAATAACTTATTTTTTACTGTAAAAAAACTGAATAATAATTTAAAATAATGGACACTATGGAGAGTGAGTCGGAAATCGGCCGCTTTTATAGCGGTCAGAGTGTGTTCATTACGGGCGCCACCGGTTTTATGGGCAAAGTGTTGGTCGAGAAGTTGCTTCGTTCGTGCGAATCGGTCGGTTATATATACGTGTTGTTGCGGCCAAAGAAGGGTCTGGACGTGAGGTCCCGACTGCAGGAGTTTGTGGAGGGCCGGTGCTTTGACCACTTGCGTGAAATTGCGCCCAAAGCCCTGAATAAAGTGGTGCCCATTGAGGGCGACATAACCCTTCCCGGACTCGGCATTTCCAGCGCCAAGCTCTCGCTTCTGGTACGTGACGTGTCGATAGTGTTTCACTCGGCGGCGACCGTTAAATTCGACGAACCGCTCAAAACATCCGTCAACTTCAATGTGTTGGGCACTCGACGGCTCATCGAGTTGTGCCATAAATTGCCAAAAATTGTGGTAACATTTTTTATTTTGACTTATTTTTTGCTTAATCTCTATTTTAAATTTTGATCTTATTTTTAATAATGTATTCAGATTTTCTACACACTAATATAATTGGACTAGTGTATTTCTATTACCATTTTTATAAATGTTAGTATATTTGTTTTATAAACAGCTAAATAAGTGTTGTTTTAAATATTAATAATATTTTCATATAATTTTGAATATTTTTTATGGAGGGTTAGATTAAAAGTTTTCTGAATTAGTTATTGTTGTTTATTTTAATTAAGCAATTTATATTCATAGATAACACGGTTTAATGGCATTTTGTATCACTAATCCAGCAATTTTTGACAAATTTTCCTTTAAAGATGTGATAAATATTGTATATTTAAGGAAAAAAGTGTTGTTTCAAAGGGTTATTGAAATATAAGCACCGATTTTGGTTTTTATTCAATTTTAATTTAGACCATAAACTCAATATAAGAATTACAATATAATCCGTTGCTTATAAAGTGTACATTACTTTAGTTTTTTGAATTTTAAATGACATTTCAATAGTGAACTTATTGTGAAAAAGCAACAAATTCTGCAAATTTATGTAAATATAAAATATATTTCACAACAAGTTTTGAGATCTTGACTGATCTCACGTTATGTTAGATTTTTAGTCTTTACACTCAAAAATATTTTAAAACTAAACTAACGTTTTTGTGTTTAATTTATGTTATTTTTCGCAAACATTTTTAAGGAAAACTTTTTAATTTAGTTAAGGAACTAATTAAGTTAAATACCCCCATATTATACATATATAAATATTATATAACATAGCCTTAAAAGGTGATAGTGGATCAAATAGCCCTTTATCTACCACTTTCTATCAGTAATGTGTTTTTGTATAAACTTAATGCACAATTGTATTACGATTAATGAATAGGTATTATACGGTTGACTGCATATTAACAATAACATAAATATTAATTATTATTTTTTATAGTAATTTATTATGCATTAAAATCAAGAAAACTTGAAAAATGCTTATTTGAAAAAACAAAATCTAAAAGACTTATTACAAATACAATAACGGAAAGGCATTAATACACGTCTCGACGGCTTATGCCAACTGTAATCGGTATGAAGTGGACGAAAGACTGTATCCGTCGGATGTGTCGCCGCAAAAGATCATCGATCTCTGCGAATGGATGGACGAGAAGTTGTTGAATGAGATGACACCCAAACTGTTGGGCGATCGGCCCAACACTTACACCTACACGAAGGCAATGGCCGAGACATTGTTGGTGGAGGAGTGCGGAAGTCTGCCCGTGGCTATAGTGAGGCCGTCGATCGTGACGTGTTCGTGGAAAGAGCCAATGCCCGGATGGGTGGACAATCTCAACGGTCCCACAGGTCTCATAGTGGCCGCCGGCAAAGGCATACTCCGCTCGATGCAGCACAAGTCGGCCGCCAGCGCCGACATCATACCCGTCGACACCGTAATCAATCTAATGATAGCCATCGTATGGTTTACGGCGACTCAACGCCCGAACGGTATACTCGTCTACAACTGTACGTCCGGTTCGCTGAATAACTTCAAATGGGGTCAACTGTCGGATATGTTTCAGTATCTGCTTCAGTACCCGAGCTCTCAGATCTATCGCTATCCGAGTCTATATCTCAAAGAGTCCCAGTTTTTCAACAGACTTCACACAGTGTTTGACCACATAATACCCGCGCATCTGTTCGACGCCCTGATGACAGTGTTGGGCCGCAAACGCATTATGGTTCGCATCTATGAACGCCTGCACCGGTCGGTCAAAGTGCTCGAGTGGTTCACTACTCACGAGTGGCGGTTCACCAATAATAATATACTTATGCTTATTGATCACCTCAAGGGTGTCGACAAACAGGTATGTCTTAACCCTTTCTCTTGTCATTAGCGGTGATTATAATTAATTATGTAAATGTTATTACAATTATCTAGTTCATTATAAGTGAGTACATAATAGTATTGGTATAATAACATTGTTGATTTACTTAATATCGTTAATGTGTTTGTGTGCAGTAGATTCACGTAATCATAATAAATGTATAATTTTATAATTGTAATCAAAAATGTTATTTATTTCCTGTTTTATTAACACATTAAACAATATAATTGTAAAATGCATTTCGCATTCAAACAAGATTTAGCGCAAAATAAAATAAGTGTTTTAACTAGAAATCAATTTAAGAAAATTTCAAATATAAAACGTGGAAATATTATTAATAATAATCTGATTTGAAAATCTGACAGACATTTCACTTCGACATCCGGACCATCCATTGGCCGACGTATTGGGGAGACTATGTGTTGGGCACTCGGAAATACATACTCAAAGAGGACAACAGTACACTACCAGAAGCCAGAAATAATTTGCGAAAACTGTATTACTTGAACAAAATCTTTGGATTTCTCGTTTTGCTCGGCGTTTGGCACACCTTCTCGTTGGGCGCCGTTATATCCGCCAAACTCTTCTGATTTCTGCCACTCTTTTTCCATTATATCCTCAATTGTTTTGCTTTTATTTGATTATATTATTGACAATTAATATATCATAGGTTTATATGTAATTTATATTATATTAAGTTATATATTGTAAGTTTTATGTGCACACTATTTGAAGCACTATGGTACATTTGATTGTTTTGTTATTTGTTATCCAATGAGAGTTATTATTGTATATTATTTCAGATCTAAATAATATAATTTTAAAATCAGTTATACTTTATAAAGATTTATTAAACATGTTAAATTTTGATAATAATGAAATGTTTGTAATATTACACGAATATAAGCGTGAAATTGTCATTAAAACGATAATTAAAAGTGTTATCAAAATTAACGTTAATTAGGTTTTTAATTAAAACAAAATATAATTATTTATTACATGTATAAGTCATGTATAAGTCCTACACTCGTGTCAAAACACAGTTTACAGCAAAACACAAAAGTTTGTCATCAATTTATTTAAAGTTATGATTAAAAACAATTGTAATTCATAAGTGTAGGCGATTGTCCATATTTGTATTTCTACATCTCCACTATACAATACTCTATCTCATTTGAATTTGTATTTATTTTATTTACTATCAGTAGATTATAAATGTTTAAATGCGTGACTGATTGCCATTAAAATAAATACATATTTTCGTTATTATGTGACAATTGAGACAATATTGTAGTGAAGGTAATAAAATGTGACTTTTTAATTAAATAACCCTTTTATATGCGTTTTTGATTTCTAAACGATCATGTGTATTTTTAAACACATTGTACTACATCACACAAAATTATAGACTTATAATTCCCATAAATTTCGTATATATAAACTTATAAATTAATGCTAAAAAGTTGTAAAAACAATTTTATATATACAAAATTTATGGGAATTATAAGTCTATAATGATGTGTGTACTACATCATGTATATTTTATTTGTTCAGAAATTACAAAAATCATGCACAGGTGTATACATCGTGTGTGTATATAATGTACAGGTATTTAACATTTGATTGTTATTTAAGTAAAAAAATTTGCAGACAATATTCAAGTCAAACAGAATTCATCAAAATATTTACAACAAAAGAAGTTATAATCGCATTGTTTTTCACATTTCACGAAAAACTTTGTAGAGTTTTGCAAAGTTTTATGAGAAATATATTCAAATTATTCGCACACATTTAAAACCGGTTATAATTCGCACAAAAAGCTATATATTTTTGTATAAGTGAATATTATGATGATGAAAAAGTTAGCATCAAAGTGGTAAAACTGTTTTATATCGCACACTATTTTTGGCAATCTATTTGTGCACAAAATCAGTTTTTACAGTTAAAGAAAAGTTCTTTGTTAAAAGTTTTAATACTTTTATTTTGAGTGTAATTCAACATTGTTTTTCTGAAGCCATGTATCACAACAGGAATGGTTTGTCCGATCAGTTATACATTGAATTATTTGATATTCTCTACGATTTATCCGAGAAATTGGTTCACAAAATCTCTGCCTTTAGAGAAAGGGTAATGTTTTTTAAAACTCAATTTTTATATTTCTTTTCTTAATAACTATTAATATTTAAATTCACTGATCCTGTGATTTAAATGACATATATTTGGAAACATTTATTTTGTTTTGTTTTTCAAATTAATTAGTCGATCGTATGTTTCGGGAAAATAAACAAAAAGTTTGTTACAAATGGACAAAAAATATGAAGAAATCGGATAAACATTATAAATATTTCTGTCATAAAAAACATTAATTAAAACTTTTCTTCAAATATACTGTATTTTCACAATTTTTCACTTATTTTAATTACACTTTCGTTAGTCTTTTAAACGATTATCAGTGATAATCCGTGTTTAATACCTAAGATATATAACCAGTTATTTTATTCCTTAATATTTTGTCAAATACCAGAAATCTTTATAAATGTATAAAAATAAATTGCACGTTAACTCTAAACATCATAGATTCAATGTTTTACAACCACATTAGCA